ATGTTTTTGGTAGTTTTGATGACATGAACGAAGATCAGGGACATGATGATGGAGTTCCTGATTTTGATGAAGTTGATGTGGACATGCCAGAGAATGTGCATGTGGCTGAAATGGATGAAGATGCACCATTTCCTGATAAGGTAGGTCGACTAGTGATAGTCCATAGTGTGAAGTTTTATGGGTGCAAAGTCCTAAACCTTTTGTGCTACCTTTTGTGCTAAGCATGATGATTATGTTCATCTGGAGACCGATGAGGCTTTTGGAGATGAAGTTGCGGTGTCTAATGCAAATTTAGAAGACCTCTGTCGTTCTCACCTAGTAAGTCTACCTTTGTCACTCTCGCTTAGCAAGTATTATTTCTGCTGAAACTATAGTGCCTGTGGCACATATGGCTTGTCAATTCAGCACTTATAGGAAGTAATTGGAGCTTTTTCATCGCCATCTGCGTGAGTGTTGGTGACCTGTACACTTTTTAGTGGACTACTATTAAGCTATTCCCTCTTATGCCACCAGCTGGACTTTGCAGTTACCGTAAGACTTTTAAGAGGAATTTTGTGCATATGAATCAATTTTGTATCTGTGAATGTTCCATCTGATTCTTGTAGCATATATGCGGTCTCTCAGTTTTTTATTTTTTGGAGTTATTGTTTGACATTTCGTTAGATCTTAATCTCCACTACATATATACCCTAGAATTTTCCTTTCAGTTTGAGAGAATACTTCTATCTTGTTTCTTACCATTGTGAAATTTTGCTGTATGTAAAATTTTTGCTTTTCCTACAACTCCAATCTCTGCCTATGCCGTGTGATGCAATAATAGTCAAGTGAGAAAATGAAAGAAGAGATCGCTTTCTATGCCATATCTGATACAGTGTTGTTAATCCATTTTCTGCTTGTAGGATGCTCTCCTTACCAGTATAGCTGAAAGTGAGAAACAGACTGAATTGGCTGCACGAGTTTCTACATGGAAACAAAAAATTGAGGACAACTTGGAAGAGCAAGTAAATATATCTAGCTCCTTTCACTTGGATGAAATAAACAACTCTTGCTTAATCTTATTACTCAAGTCGATGGTCCTGTTTTCCTGGCTCTTTGACTTTCAGAAATTTCATTTGCTGACAGGATTCTCGCCTTCCATTTGACATTCACGAATACAGTGAAAAAATCCTCGTCAAACTTTCTGTAGAAGCAGATCAACGAAATGCCATGTCCTTTGCTGATATCGTGCAGGGCCAAGAGAAGCATGATGTGGCTCGAACCTTCTCTGCGCTTCTTCAATTGGTAATTTCTTTATCATGTTAATTTCTTTATTATGTTGGCACTTGTCTGTCTGCTAGCCAATTTATGTTAGTCAATAATGTAAAATCACACTCACTCAGATGACTTTGAAGATTGCTTAGATCTCAAGCTTCATCACATGCTTATTATTTACTTCAGGTGAACAATGGAGATGTTGATTTGGAGCGGAGTGACATCCGTGAATCTTTCTGTTACACTGCTGTGAATCCTTTCCACGTTCGTCTAATTGGCAATAATACAAGAGAGAGGGGAATACATATCAAGAAGAGGATGAGATCTCCCATAAAACACGCTCGAAAAGGTGGTGGGAACGAACCGATCAGAGAGAGGGAGAAGTCTCCCGCCAATTCTCTTTCGAAGCCCAGGTCAAGGGCATTATCGTCACAACCTCATTCTAAGTTCCCTATTAAGGTCGCGAAAGCAGGCGGTGTGAGGTGCACTCCCGACAGCAAAAGGAGAAGGAGATCGCGATTCGTAGAGCCCGTCGATTTACACCCTGCTGGTTGACATGAACCTCATGGTGTGCCACGGGTACGTATCCTTTTACTGGACAATCGGGGCAAGTGGCTGTACAGCTCGAGAGCAAATAAGATTGGGACCTCCATCCTTTTTAGTCTGATACTCTTAACAGAATGTAGGCATCGGTAATTTCTGTTACCATCTAATTTATTATAAAGCCAAGTGTAATTGGTCAACAAGCATTGTAACATAGATGGTCATGTGATTAGTGTCATATTCCTTCCCCTCCAAAGAAACGTGATCGTCTGAATCACAACTTCTTGGGGCCATGTAACACCACCTTTCTGTAAAGCTTCCATTCTTTATCTAACATGTTGGGCAGAGTTCTTGTGCAACTCAATTTCCTTTTCCCTTTCTAAACTTATCGTAAGATGGTGACTTGCATGAACGGCATGATGCTGCTACCTTTTGCCGATCACCTGCGCTGTTCACTAGAATCAGGTAATCGTGAGCAGGGGTACGCAACCAGGCCGGTTCGGCCTAGGAATCTGCGCGGTCTATCTGGTCCTAGGGAGAGAAACTGTGAATTCACCAATCATCTAAAGAACTCAGGACCAACCTGCCGGTTCGGGTCGGAATCAATACCCACAACATCGGTTCCACGTTCCGCCTCAAACGACAACCGTTTTTGCCCTCAATCGCAAGAACAGCCCATGTTGCTGCCAATCAACAGATCGTTTTGAGGATGGGTTACAAACGTGGGGTTTGGGTATGGGTTTGGTTTTGGGTTTGGGTTTGGTTGACTCACTCCAAGAACTCCTTGCCCACAAGTCAAGTGAAGGAAAGAATGGTGCAGGTAAGGGTGACGACCAAAAGAAGAACAGTGACCCAAAGAAATCCAAAAGCCTAAAACCGTGTCGGACAACAGTGACGAAGAGGGAGGGAGCAGCGTGAGTGGAATATCCTGCTGTGGCATTATTAAAGATTAGGTGGGTCTTCGTCTACTTCAATTTTTGCGCGTCGTATTGTTGGTTTCCTAAGATTGTTACCCTGCATTTTCTATGCTTTGGCTGACTCTTGACTCTAATAATCTCTGCATACTTTATTCTAACACTATAACCACGTTCGATGGACTCGTTGTGTGGTCAATAATAAGACTGATCACATGAAACTTGCTGTTTAGTGCTGGACATAGTACCCGATAGTGGTTTTTTTTTTATCTAGCTCGAAGGTCGTTGCGTCCAATTAGGGAGTTCGGGTCGCGCGATGCGATAGGGTCGTAGTCAGAAACGATCAAAAACACTGTCGATGCAGACCAGAGGTGGACTCAAGTCAACAGGGTAGGTGGGTCGGCGATGGCGGGTACCGTCGGTCTCCAATCATAAGCTCTGTGTTGATTGCGATTTCGGGAGTCGCATGCCTTCGTTTCGTCGTGTTCCAATCACGCGGTAAGTCCCTAGAGTTCGACACCTTTTTCTCTCTTTTGGATGCAGAAGTTTTGGGGATAATCGTCCGAAAAGTCCTAAACCTATTGTACGGCAGGCCAATTCAATCTTAAACATTTTAATTATGCCAATTTAGTCATAAACATTTTGACAATTTGCCGATTTAATTCTAAACCTTTTGAAGATTTTCGAATTTAGTCTTAAGTCTAGTATTTTGGACATTTGGCCAAAATGACTACATTGGCAAATTGTCAAAAGGATTATGACTAAATTGGCAAATCATCAAAATATTTAGGATCAAATTGGTACAATCAAAAGGTTTAAGACCGAATTGGTCCCTGCATGATTAGTTTAGAACTTTCTGGACAAAAATTTTCCTCGAAAGTTTGCGATACCCCGATTACTTAAAACGAAAATCTCTTAATTTTAGGGATTGGGAATTCCGGAATCAATCGATCCCACACGGATCAATATCTTCTGCCATATATTTTTGCCCCTTTTCTCCGCTATTTGTCACTTTGAATCTCTTTTGGGTGCTTTGTCGGTGAGGGAACGACGAAGACCCGGAAGACTTTGTACCACCAATGCAAAGACGTGCTGCGCAAGAAAACGCAATTTCACACGTCCAGCACACAGTTTTTATCTTATTTGCCCACTTGGTGAGTCAATGCATACGAATCACTCGGTCACTTCTTTTTCTTTAATTTTTTTTATTTTCGGTGGGTTTCCTCGAGTGAGATCCCTCGGAAAAATTGCTTTTTTTTTTTTTAATAATTTACTCATCTCGTTTCTCATTTTTTAAAGAGTTAATATCACGAAAAATCTCGAACTAATATAATTATGACAAATTTACCCCAAATTAATATTTTGACAACCAAAAATCCTAACTGATAAACGTGTGATAAATTTGCGCCGAATTAATTTTTTAACACAAAAAACTTCAAATTGATACATTTGTAACAAATTTACCCCCCACTAAATTGAATTAATATAAAAAAAAATAAAAAATTAGTACACCTGCGATGAACAGAGGGTAAAATCCCAAACTACTATATTCGTTAACTGTCATGTGTCATTTAACCAAACAATTTGACAGTAAAATTTAACGGAAACTAACGGAGGGTAAATTTATCATTGGTATATCAGTTTGGGGTTTTTGGTTATCAAAAAATTAGTTTGGGGTAAATTTATTACAGGTGTACCAGTTTGGGATTTTTCGTGTTAATAACCCTTCTTTAAATTAATTTCTACGTTCCAGCGCCGCTCCAATTATGACGCCGAATTTAAATTAATTAATTTCGAGGTGGCAAATTAAACAATTGCGTGTCGCTTCCACGGCTCCGAAAAACGCAATCGCCGTTCCGACGCGCCGGTCAATCCCAATCCCCCCGCGTCGAATCTTTCATAATCCTCCAAGAATCCCCCCGGTGCCCTTTTGCTCAACACCCGACGCCGTTTTGCTTTGACGGGGACATTTTGCCCGGACCCGGACCCGGACTCGGACTCTGGGTCGGTCTCGGATAGGAACGGGGAAGGGGTGGGGGGCAACACGGTAAATTTCGCGGAACCCGAGGATCCCGCGTCAACCGTGGCGTCTCAAGAGGGACCGCGGAAAGCCCTGTGGGGAGCTCGTCCTCTTCTTCTTCTTCTTCCTCCGAAACCTTCACGAACTTTCCCCATCTCTCTCTCTCTCTCTCTCTCTCTCTCTCTCTCATCCTCCTACTATAATCCTCCTCGTCCCCCCAGTGCAGGCACACACACACACCGGCACAGACCAACTTCCGCTCTCTCTCTCTCTCTCTCTCTCTCTATCTGTAAACGACTGGTTGGTGACTGCAACGCCATGTCCGACGGCGGCTACGACGGCGGAGAGGGGGGCGACGGCTACTCCAGCCACTACGCGCCGCAGAGGTCCTACGCCCTCAGCGGCAGGATCATGCTCGCCGCCATCATCGTCCTCTTCTTCGTCGTCGTCATCATGATCTCCCTCCACCTCTACGCCCGCTGGTTCCTCCTCCGCCGCCGCCAGCGCCGCCTCTTCCTCCGCCGCAACCGCCTCAACCGCCGCACCCACATCGTCCTCTACTCCGACTTCGCCGCCCCCTCCTCCTCCGCCTCCCGCGGCCTCGACCCCTCCGTCCTCAAGTCCCTCCCCGTCTTCACCTTCTCCTCCGGCTCCGCCGCCGCCCCCGGGGCCATCGGCGGCGGCGGCGAGGGGGCGCCGGCGGAGTGCGCCGTGTGCCTGTCGGAGTTCGAGGACGGCGAGGCGGCGCGGCTGCTCCCCAAGTGCAAGCACTTGTTCCACGTCGACTGCATCGACATGTGGTTCCACTCTCACTCCACCTGCCCCCTCTGCCGCTCTCCGGTCGAGCCGGTCGCCGAGGAATTCGTCGCCGTCGCCGTCGCTGGGCTCGACCGGGCCGAGGCCGGCACGAGCTCGGGCCTGTGCTCCTCGTGCCAGCACGAGGAGTTGCCGGGGACGGCGGCGGCTTCCTCCTCGTCGGCGCATGCCCCGCCCCTCTCCGGGCGGAGGAAGCCGCCGGAGCTGGCCGGATTCTCCATCGAGGTGCCACGGTGGGCCCGTCCAGAGGACGAGCCGAGGTGCGACACGCCGGCGAGCCGGCTCAGGTCGCCGGTGAGCCGGATGCTGTCGTTCACGAGGATCCTAAGCAGGGAGAGGTTTGGGGGGATCCTCTCGCCGTCGGCGGCGGCGGGGACGAGCTCGGCGAGTTGCGGGCCTCCGGCGAGCGAGGCGGACGTGGAGCGAGGATTGTCGACGGCGGGGAGAGGTGGCGAGGCTCAGTAAAAGCCCGGCGCCGTACGGTGCTGACGTGGCGATATTCTGCCGTATGGGAAAGAAGGAAAAAAAAGAAAGAAAGGCATTCGGCGTTCGGCGTTTAGCGTGTCAGAGAGTCAAAAAAGCTCGAAGGCGTAGGTTGGACTCCCCGTCGGTCGGACCAAGCCGCGGACACGTGGCAGTCTGGCGAGGGCTCGTGGGTTGCTCGCATTCGCAGCCCTTTGTTGACCACCACCCTCGAAAGAAGTTTGACCTGTGCATAGAGAATCGGATTTATTCAGAAGTTTATTTTGTTCATTTAATCTTCGCTTTTCTGTTTTTATTTTTAGGCTTGGGAATTAGTTCATTTCATTCGAGTGGGGGGTAATTTATTTTGTCAAAACATTGTTGCATCCTCCGCAAATTGGCAAGTTATAGAAAAAAATATATACTTATATATTTTATCAATCTCATGATGCGTTTGTTGATGCAAATTTTAATTCCTAATTATTGGTGGGACTAAGATTAGCTACTACCTTGGCTCTGATTAATTAATCAAGTGTTAGCCTACTTTTGCACCATGTATGATGTTATCTCTCCACGGACACGGTTAAAGACATCCCACGCAACCGAGCCATCGTCACGATACCGACCTCACGGTGATAGCCCGACCTCACTGTCGACGCCCTCGTCGCTCTTTGCCCTTTTCCTCGATCTTTGTTTGTGATGAGCATGAGGTGGCCCTCGTGAGCTAGCCACGCAAGGTCTGTAGCAAGCTCAGTCCGAGAGGCTATGGCTGCGTATTAACACTAGACCCAAAAACTGGACTGAACGTAAAGAAGTTAATGGCCGAAATTAGGTAATGACACTATACTTAACTCGTAAGCCACGTTCGACATAATGCCTAATAGCTCATCAATTGTAAAGGTCCTATCGATATTATTGGCCTAGAAAGCACATCAATGAAATGTCTTATCACGAGTTTAAATGGACATGGTATAAGTGAAATTTATAACGCTACGATTGACTCGAAACATGAAAGTATACCGGATAATAATTCCGGTATATTTTCATAAATTCTCAAAAGGAAAATAATTGAAAACAGTGATCGTATTTTTGAGAAAGAGATGAAAATTGAGAGAGTTACTGAACTAGAAATGTTGATAATAAATAGCAAAACCCTTTTGTGAACAAACATACAGTTCCGAAAGGACACAACTATTCATCCTTTTAATTGTAAATTCGAAATTAAAAAAAAAAAAACTACCACTCACATCTTCTTCTTAATTTGTAAAATAATGGCAAAATAACTATCACTCACATCTTTTTGATGGGAGACAAGGATAAGGCATCTCTGAATTGTTTTACAAATAAACTTTCAACATGGTCAACGAAAATTAGATGATAGAAATGAAAGAGCATTTGTAATGATAATTAATCTCTATTATCTGTGCGATTTGGTCGTCTAAATTTAAATATGGCAATCAAATTATTTTTATTTTGTCTATTCATGCAATGACGGAGAATAAACATGTAATGTTAATCAGGTGCCAAATGACAGCCATATCGGTAAAATCAAGAAGACAAACACGGGGGCGAGGTAGAGAGATGCGGAGGAGCGAGGGGCATCGCTGCCAAATGCAACCGTTGCCAAGGGTCGCTCGACCTGCACTAGGATTTCACGACACCTCAACAAGATTCGTGCAACCATCACAAGCAAAAAGGAGAGGGTCATGGAACCCTCCCCACCGCCATCGGGATGCTTACGAGACCCTCGGTTTTTAGGGGAGAGGGTCACACGACCTTTGCTAGAGTGTGACTAAAGCCAAGTGACCCTTGCTAGTCGTCATAAGGGCGACTTGCAAGGGACGATGACGCTTAATCTTGGCACTCATTTGGCATGTCAACACGCTAAATTCATTTTGTGTCATGTTAGCGATACACATACAATAAAAAAGGGGGGAAGAACAACAGAAGTGCCAAAAGTTGTGTACGGAGCTCACTTTGGTGCCAAAAGTTCCATTTGGATTACTTAAGTGCCAAATCGGAGGAAAAATGATCACTTTGGTGCCAACGGCGAGAAATTTCGGTCAAATTAATACGTGACATTTATAATTAAATTTTTAATCTTAGTTGGATTTTTTTTTTAAAAAATTAGTCTATATGGCATTTCCACGTATATATTTCGATTTTTTAAATACTTGTCTGAATTTTTTTCTTTTTTTCTTCTTTTCTTTTCTTTCTTCTCCCTTTGGTCACCGCCGGTGACCGGAGGTCGGCCGCCTGGCCTCGCCCGGACGAGGCCGCCGCCGCCCACCACAGGCGAGGCCCGGCCGACCCTCGCCTGGGCGACGGCAGCAAGCCCGGCGAGGTCGGCCTCGCCTTGCATGGGCGAGGGCTCCCCTCGCCGAGATCCGGCGAGGGTGGCCGTCGCCCAGTGCCACGGCGGCCCGGCCGGACGTCGCCCGGGAAGGCGATGGCCGCCCTCGCCGGATCCGGGCGAGGGGAGCCCTCACCCATGCGAGGGAGGCCGACCTCGCCGAGGCTTGCCCGCCGTCGCCCGTGCGAGGGTCGACCGGCCTCGCTCGAACGAGGCCGCCGCCAACCACCACAGGCGAGGCCCGGCCGACCCTCGCCTGGGTGACGGCGGGCAAGCCCCGGCGATGTCGCCTCGCCTCGCAAGATCCGGGTGAGGCCGGCCGTCGCCCAGGCCACGGCGGCCCCGCCGGGCGTCGCCTTCCCGGGCAACGTCCGGCGGGGCCGCCGTGGCCTCGGGCAACGGCCGGCCTCGCCGGATCTTGCGAGGCGAGGCCGACCTCGCCGGGGCTTGCCCGCCGTCGCCTGGGCGAGGGTCGGCCGGGCCTCGCCTGTGGCGGGCGGCGGTGGCCTCGTCCGGGCGAGGCCATGCGGCCGGTGGCTGGCCTCCGGTCAACGGCGGTGACCAAAGGGAGAAGAAAGAAAAGAAAAGAAGGAAAAAAGAAAGAAAAGAAAAAAAATTATTTGAAATAAAAAATGCTGACTGTATGTGCTGACTGTATCTCCGGCGAGCCACATCGGCTTTAGAAATTAATAAAAAATGCCACGTCGGATTTCCGGCCAAACTGATCGGAGTTGGCACTTAAGTGATCATTTTTCAAAAATTTTGGCACTTAAATGATCCAAATGAAACTTTTGGCACCAAAGTAAGCTCCGTACACAACTTTTGGCACTTCTGCTGTTCTTCCCCCATAAAAAAGAAAGTGGATCTAATCTTGCATACAATCAAACTTGGAGCGATTAAGCTTCACGCGACTCCTCTCTTGTCGCATGTCGCAAGTCGCAAGAGCTCCTTTTACAATGCGATCTTCACATGGCTCCGGGGTCTTTGGACTTTAAGGTTGTAAGTTAAGAAGATACAGGTAGATGAATGAACTTCATTAGACTCGTTTCTTGTAATCTAGCTATCAAAATGCATGCCTTACCAACGGATATATTGATAAAGTTTACACTCTTGTTGATTCTTAATAATCCATTCCTATTCCTCACAAAGTTTGGAGCCTTTGGCAAAAGTTTGGATATGTCCATTTTAAAGGATCAAAAACCCTTCAGGGAAACTTTACCATTACTATCTAAGTAAGGCGAAGGCCTAAACCTATTGAATCAATTCAGATGAGCCGAATTAGCGATCTATTTCAAAAAGAGAATCAATGGATGTTTTCAATTCATTCCATTTTACCGATAGATGGATGGTTCGCGCTCAAAATTTCTTGTATAGCTAGAAACTTATTACATCGATGGTTTTCGTAATATGAATTCTTGTTAAAAGCAAGAGCTTCCATAATCATAATCCCTGTTTCGAAATGGAAATCTCACATTCAAGTTGACCTAAAATCAATTACATCATCATCTCCATGCACGTGAGGATGTGGGTAAGTTTCAGAATTCCCCCATGGCGTTCATGATCTTCTGTACCCAAAAAAGAGGAAAAGGGTAGCGATTCCTTGCCCGTGACCCGTCGTCAAGTAGCAATTAGATGAACCAGCATATGGCATTCACATGGCGCTCGTGCACTCTTGCTTGCCCTGCACTAAATGGGATACGGTCCCAATCATTGCTAATTCCAACTTCAAATCGACTTCTATCATGCCTGTCACGAGCCTTTGTCCACATTAAACCTGCCAAAAATATGTTACAAACTCATTTATTAACCCATATTTGATGACCGAGTTGTCATATGAGCTAGTAATATTCAGTAAATATTTTTAGAATGGCAATACGGGTGTTAAATGGGTTTACTATTTATTTAGACAAAATCCACCTCTATGACTCTCTCTCGTCCTCATTCGATCTCGTGCTCGCTCGCTCCACGCTCTCACCTCAGTTGGATATGAAATTTCCTAAATTTGATTAAATATAAAAGTATTTTAGCAATATAAGTCAAAATGAATTAAATAAGTCAATTTGGATCGGACCATTTTCGATCTAATCCGACTATTTGATGGGTCTAGTCCATGAATAGATTCGTTCTAAAAGTCAAAACGGATTAGTGATTTTGAGGAAATTCAAAGAAGACTTTGATAGCGACCAAAAGCGAAAGTAGACTTTGATAGGGATAAAAAAGGAAGTGCAGCCTTACCAAAAAAAAAAAAGGAAGAGCAGAATTCGAAAATCCAGCAATGTGTCAAAGCCAAAAACAGATTTAGAAGTGCAAAAAGTTCGTTTGACGATGAACTCCTAAGCTAACTTTATGGGGGGGTGCAACTGCAAGGTCAGGGCCGGTCCACGAGGAAAGATGCTTAGTTTTCGCCGGATCCAATACATGCGCACCATTGCACGTGAACAATCTGATATGGATTAGTCAAAGAAATGGGCATGTGCACACAGTATGGAGTTTGACGGGAATGGTGGCTCCGGAGTTAGATAGGCCGTAGACTCGGTTTTAGTTCTTTTGGTGCACCGTTATTGTACGCTCTTGCAGTAGACATGATCAATAGATGAGCCGTATTGCGCTTGAAAGTTTCTATTTGGCTCCGATCACAATCGAAATGTAAATTAGTTTTTCCCTCACAAAATGGGCGGCCAAGACCCGAGAAGGAATTGCTCTACCTCGCTCGAATTGTACTTCGAGTCCGGTGGGTCTAGGCAGGTGGGCGGGACATTGACCTCATAATCAGGTCTACTACTTGCATAAGTTGATTGTTCGCTCAAATAAAAGTGTAGTTCTCATGGACAATGCATGATCATTATGGATGGAATTAAAGTAGAACACTCTTCGGTAAGTGTAAGGTTGAAGGACGGACTAATCCCATACTCGATCAGACAAGGGCAAGAAGTGATTGCTAGGACGAGAGAGCTCGGACAGGCTCTTGTGTAATGGCGAAGGAAGCAAAAACTAGATCAAACCACACACTAAATGAGGAGACCATTGCTAGGCGATTCAAGTCAACAATGACGAGTACGTCAGTTCTTTAAGTGATGGAGTTTGTGATATTTCAAGTCCCACGTTAGTTGATAAATGCTTTTTTTTTTATAGATTCATAAGTCAACACTTACCTCCAATTGATTATCACCTTGTGTGGTTACTCAGAGTACTCCTTTTGAGAGCTTGACTCACGTGAAGCGGACTGGGTCGTGACAGATGATATCAAATTACGATCACGTGAAACGATCCGGGTCATCACTGCTAGCATATGAATGTTAGCACCCTAACTCTCTCTTCTTACCTTCGCCAGCATTCCCAAGTCAAAAGGAGTTGCAATTTCTGTTCCTTTTTCCCCCCCTTTTGGTTTATCCCCAAACTTTCTCTAGTCTCGGCCGTAGGAGCTCAGAAGAAAAGCACCTCTCATCTCCCCAAAATTGAAATGAAAAACGCAGTAGAAAGAGGACAGGACAAACAAAATACAGACCCAAACGACCAAACCTCGGATCACAATCCTCCACATATCAACCTGCTGGTGTAGTTGCAGCGCAGTGTACCTCTGACTTGGGAGTTCACGTGCATTCTAATCCCACTTGCTAATGTGCATTACTGGGAGTAAAACTCCCGTTGCATCACGCATTACGAAGTTTATAAATACACATGAAAGCTGTTTCGTATAAGCCTGAAACCTTTCGTACAAAGCTTGCGTTTCCATCAAAATCTCTCTACCTTTTTCGTGCAAAAGGGAAGAGCTTGCGAGGGCCGAGCCTCCCCCCTCCTCCTAATAATGTAATCCACGAGCAGTTTGCGCAGGTTCGGCGTTCCCGTCGTCCCCACTTGCGACCACAAAGAGAGGCGCAATAAATAAATGGAGTCACGGCACCGAGAATTGAAGGACTTAGAAAATAAGACAAAAACATAAAGGACAAATGCAATAAAAAATCATAAATTATGCCCACCGCCGCGGCATATTTACTCTAAAATATCTCAAACTTGTATTCGTATGACACATTTACCTTTCGTCAAAGTTCTGTCAACGAGAACTATTAAAAATCTTCTTAGATGTCGACACGGCGCTCACGTGACTTAAATAAAATAAAAACCACTCTGTTTTGGCTGAAAAATATCTAGCAGAACCTTGTCGGAGGGTGTAAATGTGTCATGTAGGTACAAGTTTGAATTTTTTATTATGTCATAATAAAAAATCCATGGTAAATGTTTCACGGTATGATTAATTTGGGTTTTTTTTGTGGCTTTTTTCCCAAATATAAAAAGAAATGTTAAGTATATGGAAAGCATTTACTAGGGTTTCCCAGCGCCAACGGCCCTTCCCACCTTGAGCCACTTAAGACCAAATAAAAACAACTACAAAAGCAAAGTCCCCCCACCACTACTACTTCTTCATCTTCTTCTTCTTCGTCACTCTACACAGCCTGCTCCCTCTGCTCGTCAAGGGGAGCAACACCAGCCCAGAAACGCCGCAGTAGCACAGCGGAAGCACCACCACCACCACCACACAAATGTCGACGAAGTCTCCAATCTTCCCCATTCCGGAGCCCCAGCACTTCAGCGACTACGGCTTCGACCCTCAGCTCGACTTCTTCCAGGTCCCCTTTTCTGACTGGCTCGTTTCTCTCGGCAAAATGCTCAGCTCTCAAGTCCGAACTTCGTGCAGGTTTTGGGCGAAGCGAGGAGGCACAAGCGAGACGCGGCCGCCGCGAGGCCCATCGACTCCATCCACTTCAAGCTCCAGAAGCCCATCTCCAAGGACGACCACCACCACCACCACCACAAATCCAAGAGGCCTTCGTCGTCGTCGTCCTTCCACAAGTTCAAGAACAAGACCCGGTGGTGGAGGAACGCGCTCCTCTTCTTCAAGCGGTGGGCCCACCACCACCAGCAGTGCGACCGCATCGAGGACCCGCACCGCACCGTGTCCAGGCCCCCCTTCCGGGGCTCCGTGTCCGGGCCCGTGTACCTGGCCGAGAGCAGGAGCGTGCCCCCCGGGACGCCGTACCGGACGGCGAGCAGGCCGTCGTCGGGGCCGCTCGCGGGGACGCTGACGCCGGCGAGGAAGGGGGACGTGGAGGTGCCGTACGTGAGCCTCCGGGAGCTCAACACGGAGCCGCCGCCGCCGAGGACCTCCACCTCCTCCGCATTCCCCATTTACCTGGTCACTTGAGCTCCTTCTGCCCCCACCCCCCCACTTCCTTTCGTCTCTGAAAAGGAGGAAAGGCTTTTCATCCTCCTCCTTTTCGTGTTTGCTGCTAACTTCTTTTCACTTTTCGTTTTCACTTCTTTTTAGAACAGTGAAACTGGCGAACCTCGTGCATTGACCCAGTCAGCTCGCGAAATCGCAACCTCTTTTTTTTTTAACCTTTTTCTGATCATGTTTCGGTGAGCAAGAATGCGCAAATCAATGTGATGGCATTAGAACGAACGATGTACAAGACCATAAATTTAAGAAAAACATATGCTCAGAGGATTATTGTTTAATGCTTGAATAGGATCGGCAGGTTCGTGTTCATTGTTCATATGGTTAATTCACGCGGTACCTACCCGACCCTTGTGCGAGGCCGATCGTCAATCTTCTCCATCTCGTCACGCCATGTGTCCTCGGCGATCAAACCGAGCCCGTTTGATTCGTACTTGAAAACTAGGCAGTAGTTTTCGCGGCATCACGTGATCTCTCCTGTTAATGGATGTGAACGGACATGGGATCTACCGAACCACTTACTCAAAAGCCTTTCGCTATAGATGCTGAATGGATCGTGTTCGCAAATTCGATTAAACATAAGTGCGGAATGAAGTCTAAATTGAGAGATCGGAGTGACCATTTTTGGTCCTTTCGCATGTGATAATATCGATCGGGTGCGGAGTCCAAGTGCAAGTGGTGTAATGCGCAAGTGGGGGAGGAGGGAGGAGGGAGGCGGGGGGCCAAAGGGATATACTCCGTAGACGCAACGGCACTTTGGGAACCAAATCACGTTGCAGATCTCGATGTGATCTAAGCCAAAGCGGAGCGCGAGTGTTAGAGGGCAAATTCTTGCGTGAACTAGTTACGTGGGTGGACCGGGGGAGTCTCTCGTCTATTGATTTTTATGAATATAATGGGGAGCTTAAGACAATCGATAGGTCTCCGTCGCGATTCACGGTGTCTACCCACATGGATCGGATTTATGCAAGTAGCGAGAGATGGGCACGCTCTAGGGTAGAGCTACCCCCGAGGGACCATGATGGGTTGCACGGGAAATTCGCGTGATTCGGCGATTAATATGCTCGGGGTCTATGTTTTTTTTTTTGGTCTCACACATCTTTTCTATGTACAAGTGTGTATGTTGTTCACGGGGATCGAACCTCGGACCTGATACTCTCCTGCCCCACCCACTCCAAATCCATTTATCAGCAGAGCCGCAAACCCGTTGCCACTCAGGATCTATGTTCAAACATTGCCAAAAGGAGAGACCATCGACCCCACGTCGAAGGTCTGTCCACTGCATCGATACACGATGGTCAAGTGGACCAATAAAACGGCGAACTCAGTAGACCTGCAAATCAAATCTTTTATAACTGGTCGCCTCCTCTCATCCATTTTTAGGCCAGAGAGAGAGAAAGCATGCATGTTAATAACATAACTGAGGAGGAAGCCTCCAAAACAAGAAGCGGCCGCTCCATGTGCAGGTTTTGTATGAGTTGGGTCCGGCAATTGGCTTTGCTTGAGCGGTCATCTTCTCATCGTTTTCTCATTCGCTCCCCTCCAACGTTCACCCTGTCAGTTGAACATGGGGGCTTCCGCTCCCATTGATAGCTCCCTGTCCCTGTCCCTGTCCCTGCCCCTGTCCCTGTCATTCATTTGTCCTGACGTGCACGATCGAGTTTGGAAGCCAAACTCAAAGCTCGTAATCAGTTCATAAAAACGTGCGCCTCCGCCATACTAGTTAGGACAGAACTCTGAAGTTATAGTAAGTCCAACTGCCTACAATTAGGGAAAGAGAAGCGAAATAGAGAGTCCCGTCGACTTGCAGTCGAGATTATCATTAGACGACAACCTATATCATACAAGGAGTGTCATGGAGATAATCAAATCATTCGTTGAATTTATGCAAGGGCCATTTGATTTCCGTGGATGCATCATTCTCTCAGAAGAATCTAGAAACGAACGCCTTGCCTATATCTATTTCTTTAATGTATGGAAGGATTTTGAACGGTTTCGACAGATCCAATGTTCAAATCACAACATTTACTGCTCGGAATAATATATTGCCGTTCTATCGCCTTTTGAGCGAAGCCTTTCCCAATGTATGGATTGGTGAGACGGTTAGCATGCATTCATGGGATTCAGTCGAGCTCGAGCTAATGGTTTCGAGGTATCGCATATTCTTCTTGGTATTCTTGGTTAATTGATGCGAGTTCAAATTCTTTAATGCCCTTCCCTAAATACACTCGCTGCTACATCTCATGCGTCGTGATTTGGGGTTTTGTGCAACTTTATTATTCGGAGAATGAACATTCTTGATGATGTGGCATTTAAAAGAAATCACATTAATCGAGACGGGAGCGGCTCTTGATGACTTTTTGGAGCGTTCGGATGGACACAAATTCAACGGCCAAAACAAAAATTCAATCGTGTGTGGTCAATAGGTAGGTATTTTTTATGTCAGAACGTGAAAAGAGTCAAGGTTGGAGTGAAGCACGCTGATTTTGACTGCCTAGGATAAAGAGATCCTTCTAACTTCCCCGTGGAATCAAACCAAGTTGTTTCAATAGTGAAAAAGCATGCAACTTTCAGGTTTTGAGATTTATCCGAGCAAAAAAGTTGTCCCATACGGGCAAAGCGCACTCAACTTGCCTGAAGCGACAAACATGGTCGTGTCAAGACTATGTATTGGATTGGACAAGGGACTGCGGGTCTGGACATATATTATGGGAAAATTGGGGACCTAATTTGGCCTCATGGGCCAAAACCACATCATTATATTGTTACCCATTAAGTAAAAGAGGACCTAATTGGGCCTCAGTGCATAACGGAGAAGAAATTGGTAGACAAGAAGAAAGAAAAATTTCTCCTCTTCTGGTGGGAGAAAGGAAGGGATATTCCTCCTTCTAGTTCTAGGGAAAGGAAAGGGCATGTTGATTGGAAAAGGTACTAAAAAAATTTTAAATTTATTGCATTAGTACCAATTCCGTCCTAAACCTTTCCAATTGGGTTAATTTAGTCATAAACCTTTTCAAATTGGTACCAATTCAGTCCAACCGGTCAATTTAGGTCGAAAATCGCTGACGTGTACACCAACCGCCCTACATGGCACGGCCGACGTTGACGTAGACATTTTTTCAATAATTTTTTTCTTTCTTTCTTTTTTCCTTCATTTTGTTCGACAATGGCTTGCTGACCCTCGCCCAATGGCCGGCGAGGGCTTGTGTGGACTCAATACAGGTGTGGACCAGGCGAATCTTGTTTATTGATATTATGAATCTCGTGCAGAGCTTACGACAATCAATAAGTCTCAATTGTGATTCACCGTGTCTATCTGTATGGACCGGATCTATGCAAGTAGCGAGAGAGGGGCATGCTTCAGGGTAAGCTGCCCCCGTGGGACCATGATGTGTTGCACGCGAAATTCGCATGATCCAGCGCTTGATATGCTTGGGATCCATGTCCAAACATTGCCAAAAGGAGAGACCATCGACCCCACGCTGAAGGTCAGTCTTTTGCATTGGTACGCAATGGTCAACTAGACCGACAGAACGTCAAACTCTATAGACCTACTAATCAAATAGTTTACGACTGATTGCGTCTTTCCATCTTTTTGTTTTTTGATAGAGAGAGCATGCATGTGAAGGTTTGTACGAGTTGGGTCCGGCAATTGGCTTGCTTGAGCAGCCATCTTCTCATCGTTTTCTCATTCAATCCCCTCCAACATTCAACCTGTCAGTTGAACATGGGGCTTCGGCTCCCATTGATAGCAACCCCTCTCTGTCTCTGTCTTTGTCTCTGCCATTCATTTGTCCTTGTTGAATTTTAGTAAAGCAATCACAAAAAAGAACACAAGAGTTACGAGGTTCGGCAATGTGCCTACGTCCTTGGACAAAACTCTCAACTCTCTTTTTTTTTTTGTTTATCGTGAGAGTTAAGCTGCCATTATTCTGCAATTTGTACACAAGGGTTGCCACAACAAAGAAAACAAGCAAACCCGAAAAACAGGAAACTCCAAAAAATAGGAAAGCTATCAATATACAGATTTGCCTACAATCTCTACTTTCCTTGAATAAGAACGCAAATCCCGCCAATACTGCCAATACTTCCCCTCAAGTTGGAGCGAAGACATCGTCAGAGGTCAACTTGTTCACCATATCCTAAAATATTCCCTTGGATAAAGCTTTGGTGAAGACATCAGCAAGTTGATCCTTACTACGAATATATGGTGTCTCTATCGTCTTGTCTTGAACCTTTTCCCTTACAAAGTGACAATCGACTTCTATGTGTTTGGTCCTCTCATGAAAGATTGGATTTGAAGCAATGTGTGTCGCCAACTGATTATCACAGAATAGCTTCGTAGGTTTAGACATGGCATCATAGCCCAATTCTTGAAGTAATAGACGGAGCCATATGATCTCACTAGTGGCGGTAGCCATGGCTCGGTACTCAGCCTCTGCGCTAGATCTAGCCACAACCGTTTGCTTCTTACTCTTCCAAGTAACAATATTTCCACCAACGAAGGTACAAAAACCTGTGGTAGATTTTCTATCTATGGGGTTCCCAGCCCAATCAGCATCAGTAAACCCCACAATCTCTATATTACCATTATTCTTCAACATTATTCCTCTTCCCGGAGAAGCTTTCAGATATCGAAGGAGCTGGTTTAGCAACTCCATATGCCCTTGTGTAGGTTTCTGCATAAATTGGCTCACATAGCTGACAGAATAAGCAATATTAGGTCTAGTAATAGTTAAGTAAATCAATCTCCCTACTAAACGTTGAAATTGCCCAATATCCTGCAATGGTGTTTCCTTAGACACAGTCTTACTTTTGTAATCCATAGGTGTGCTAGCAGGTTTAACGCCCAACTTACTAGTCTCCTTCAGTAGATCTAGGACATATTTCCTTTGAGTCAAGAACAAACCTTTGTCAAAACTTGCTACCTCTATGCCCAAAAAATACCTTAATTTTCCAAGGCCTTTAATGTCAAACTCCTTGCTCAACAACTGCTTAAGTTCTGCAATACCCGTTAAGTTACTGCCAATAATAATAAGATCATCAACATAAATGAGAATAACAACAATACCTTCACCAACTGCTTTAGTAAACATTGAAGAATCAGCTGCGCTCTTTTTGAAACCAAATCTAATGATAGCGGAACTTAGTTTGCCATACCATGCTCTAGGCAACTGTTTGAGACCATATATTGCCTTCTTTAATTTACAAACCATTCCCTTATTATTCTCTAAGGGATGTCCCGGAGAGCGATCCATATAGACCTCTTCCTCCAAGTCTC